CCGCAGCACCTGGTGATCCCCGGCACCCAGTCCCTGCTGATTCCGGTTGGCGGCACAGACGTCGAGCCGTCGGGAGTGGCGCCTGCGATCGTCACGTCGTCTCCCCAGTTCGCAGCAGTGCCTCACACGTTCGTCACCACCGCCGTCCCCAAAAGCGAGAACTTCAGCGCGGAGCCCCTCACCACCCAGCCCGCCTACCAGGCCACCATGGTGCAGGCGCAGATCCACCTGCCCGTGGTGCAGTCCATCGCTTCCCCCGCCGCTGCACCTCCCACGCTGCCCCCCTACTTCATGAAGGGGTCGATCATTCAGCTGGCCAACGGGGAGCTGAAGAAAGTAGAGGACTTGAAAACAGAAGACTTCATACAGAGCGCAGAAATCAGCAACGACCTGAAAATAGACTCCAGCACTGTGGAGAGGATTGAAGAGAGCCATAGCCCGGGCATCGCCGTGATACAGTTTGCAGTCGGGGAGCATCGAGCACAGGTAATGGCAACGCACGGGCGGGTGCGGGCGGTGGTCTGGGACGCACGCTGCGTGTGTCCCCTGCGCCCGGGTGCAGCTTTCCTCAGCGCTCAGTCGCTTTGGGTCCGCGCGGGCTCGGTTCTTCATCGTTCACATCCATCCGAGAGACCAACTCTGGTCCAGAAATCATCCGTCAGGGTCCCACCGATGATAAACGTAGTCTCTTGGATCTAAAATGGGTATTTCTTGTAGTTGAAGACCCCATCTTTTTAGATTAAAATCTGAAATGGTGTCAGCAGTACGAGAAGATACATTTTGCATTTTGATAGGTGAGTTACCTTCCACGCCAGAAAGCTCAGGTTAGAATCAGTTCAAATCCTACCCTTGAGAGAGAGGTAGGGCACAAGGCAGTGAACTTCCGCCACTTGGAAACTTGGAGCTGCCTGGGAATGGCTCCATCACACACGTAAGTTACTGAAATGCACTGCAGGGTTTTACTGAGGCATCAGTTGTGGGTGGTGTAAACACTACACGGCTCACAAGCTGTGTGTTCAAGGGAAATTTGGAAAGAAAAACCATCTAGGTGGCTGGGCAGGCTGTGCTTCTGACCTTTGTTCCTCGTTGGTTCGCAGTGTGGGAAGGAGCCCTGTACCTTTCCAAAGGTATTTTATGTTGAGAATGAGAACATACTGATCATAAAGCGTCATCCTGGCACGGTCCATTTTAAATAATCTTGTTGCAAATCTTTCTGGTGTGGTTTGGGTTCTGTGAACTGCAGCATCTGCAGCCCCAGTGCGGCACCCTCAGGGCTGGAGAACCAGAGCGGGAGAGAGGGAGAGAGGAGCGGGACGTGGGCATCTGGAGTAAAGCGCCTCAGGCTGACTGACAGTTCGGAGAAGAAAAACAGTGATGGTACTGAGGACCAGGTCACAGGAGAAATTTCCTGCAGCAGCCTGTGGTGCACACATGGTAAATGGCTGCATATGACACGTCCCCTTTCTCACATCAAATGTGCAGATTCCTTCTGGGATTTTGTTCACCTACGTGTGTGCCTCTGCACAGCTGATAGAAGCTGGGCCTCTGGTGCTTTCAGTATAAAGACGTGATTTTTCTCCCTGCTGCTCAACTGTATTCTGGTGCCTCTCAGGCTTTGGGATTAGAGGAACCATCCTTGGATCAGGACCAGTTACTATAATTTGCCCCGGTGCCTGGAATAGCGAGATTTCGGAAGCAGCAGTCTCCCATCTGCAGTTTCCATCGTGCTCTCGCTCTCTCCCTGCGGCCAGGCCACCGGTCTGTGCGGCAGCAGCCGAGGTACAGATTAGCAGGTGGCGTTGGTGGTATTGGCGGCGTTAGTGTCGCGGCTCCTTTGCCGCCCTGTCAGCGCAGGCGAGGTGCCGCAGCCCCCGGGGGGGGTGCTGGGAGGGGTGCCTTTGCAGGGGGCGGACTGCCATCCTCTGGCAGAAAGCAAGCCTGGTCCCAGGCTGTACAGATCCCGGGCCAGGCACACGGCTCTCACCCAGCAGTGTCACCTTCTGGAGAAGCCTGTAGGAGCGGGCTGACATCACCCCAGCTGAAATACTCCCCAGCTGTGTTTCCCACCGGGGATGCTTCCAGAATGGAGGGCGAGTCACGTAGGGATATGATTAGAAACGGGGGTTTAATTTAGGTTTCCTGCAGATTCCAGGACTTGGGTCTCTTCCCAGATCAGCTGTGTCCCTGCATAGCGGGGACGGCTGCCGGTTTTCCCTTGCCTGGGTTGAGACAGAGATCATTTCTACGTGCTTGAAGTCTCCGGTGACCTCACCCTCAGCCCGGCGTGGCTGTGTGGAAGCATTTCGCCTTATTAGCAGGCATGTGGCAGTCATTACTCGTTAGAAAATTGCCTGCGAGAAGAGGGCTTAGTCTTCCCGTTGAAAGCGGAGTATTTAGTCGCGCTGCTTCGGGCAGTGGCACTGTGGGGCTCCTGCACTTAAATATATCCTGACTCGGGAGGACAGCGGGCATGTATCTGGGTGCGTGGTGTAGCTTCACAAAGTATTTTATTACAATTAAGGTTCGGTTGCGTACGTGCTTCTGGAAGGAGGGAGCTTTTCGAGTGGTATTGTCAAAGGAGTGGAAGTGGTAAAGAGTAAGTGCCATGCAGAAATAGCTTTGTTGTCATTAGCTTTGGCTCACTTACGTACTCCTCCCAGGGATCTCTGGGAAGTCATTATAATATTGATGAATTCGTATTTTCAGACTCCGTGCAAACATTAGCTGATTTTCTCACCAGTTGAGGGGCAGAGGTAGGAGGTTATTTTTAGCTGAGCATATACAACTGCAGTGTAAATAGGGAGGCACCATGCAGCTGCTGTTTTATCGGATCACCGCAAGCCCACAGCTGCCCCTCCCCAGCACGGTGCTTGGGCAGAAAGAGAACACAGAATCACAGAATTGTTTAGGTTGGAAAAGGCCTTTAAGACCATCAAGTCCAAAAGATAACCTAGCACTACCAAGCCCACCACTAAACCATGTCAGCCTCCCTCCTTTCCCCATCTTCCAGTCACGTGGCAAATCCAGACCTCTTAAGGTACGGAAACCTACAGGAAAATTAACCCACCGTGCCTTTTCAGGGAAGTAACTGGCCTTAGCCCTGGAGGGATGCTGCCTTTCCATTTCACAGCATCCCTGCTCTGGATTAGGAAGAAGGCAAGGAAGTACCAACTGGGCTAGAACCCTAAGTCCAGCTGTTACTCTTGTGCATTCAAGTTGTCTAAAAGTAGAGACCTACGGATCCGCATCCCTTTGCAATTCCACATATTATTCTTGTAATCACTCTTCCATCACTATTACCTGTCCTTTCTTTTGCTGCCAGGAACAAGCAGAAGCTGGTAATTCACCTCCATTGATGATAAGGTCAAAACACAGGTGGAGATGCAAAATAAGTTCTCTGAAATGCTTGCTTTCATCCCTGTGTTTCAGTTCCTAGTCATTCCTAAAGTGTAGCTTAAAGAGATGAACATACAGTTCTTAATTTTCCTTTTTTTTTTTTTTTTAAACAGAATCATAGACACTAGAGATGGACAAGTCAGTAGCCCTAACTAGTTTAGTTTAATGCCTGTCTTTTTGGACCATCATCCAGTTTAGTTTCTCCCCTTATGTCTCTGCACGCTCACAGACCATTTACTCTGTGCTCTGCTTTTCATGATCTTTGGCACCGTAACAGACACAGAAAGAGAGATGTTGACTCAGTTCGCTGCTGCGGATGGAGATCTCTCCCAGCCTTCCCCTCACGTGACCTCCGTGCCCCTGTCTCCTGGTCACGGGGGCAGTAAGTCCTTGTTCCTCCGAGCAATGGGGTGGCTGTGGTCTCTCTTCGGATGCGTGTTACTGAATTCTGGGGGTGCAGCAGGTAAGAGCTCGTGTGATACACGTGTCAGCCAGTGGTCTCGTGGGCTTCTCTTGAGAAGTGGTGGTATCACGCAGCTGTGGAGACCAGTAGCCCCTAACCTTCAAGCCCTGGGTGTGTTTGTTATAGTAACGATATACTGAAGCTGGGCTCGATGCAGCCCCCAGGAAAGCCCACCCAGACCACGTGTCATGACGGCTAGTTCCTGCGGCACAAGGGGCTGCCTACAGCCCCGTAAATCTCTCAAGGGAAATCCACTCTTGTGAAGGCTTCCGGTGTTCGGGGTGGTGGGAACATCAGAAGTCCCCAGGTCTCTGAGTAGGGGAGGTCGTGTGGGAGCGCGGCTCTGCAGAGACTTCCCTTCCACAAATCTGCCCAGTTGTATTTTTGGACCCAATGGGTCTCTTGGCGCCCACAGCAAGGCCTTCAGCGGGGAGCTCCACCGCTTAGTTGCACATTCTTTCCAGAACCGCTTCCTTCTCTTTGTTTCCAGTCTGCCACGCCGAGTTTCATCACATTTTAATAATATCAGGGAGAAAAACACTTAATTGGAAAATGTGTGTTTACATTTATTAAAATACACTTTACACAACCCACTTTTATTAGGTACCTTTTGCTTGCTACGTTGGTTGCAGCAGCTAAATCCAGAGGCGGCCAGCTAAAACTGGGCTTGATAATCCGTGAGGGAACCCATTCCAAATCAATAGTGCTACGTGCACAGCACGACCGGATCATGGAAATTCCAGCATTTCACCATCTTTATTATTTGGTGTTACTCACGTTCACCACCACCAGTTTTGGGATTTGTTTCAGTGACTGGCAGTTCAGGCGAGTGTTTTGGATGCTGCGTTAAAGAAGTATAACGTGCGGTGGAAGCGTGTTCACATCAAGAGGAACTTGCATGTCGGGAGAGCGATGCACACAAGCGTGTATGATTCCCACAGATACAAATAGCTTTTGACATGGATGGAAAGAAAGAAAAAGAAAGAAAAAAAAAATACAGCAGGCAGGCAGGCAGGAAGGGGAGAGACATAAGAACGTGAAGGAGAAAGCTGTGTACACATGATCCATGCCTGGAGAGAAGCCTACAGCTCTGTGTGGGCAGCAGTTTCCATTTAAATCCATGGGAGATACGGGGTATTCACCATTTCTCCCAGTCAGACCTCTTACTGAGATGTGTATTTATTGAGTGGGATCCCAGACTCTGGTCAAGTATTTCTATATTTCTGCAAATCCCAGCACTGGAGTGTTTCTGTCCAACGACATGGATGGATGGGACTTTCGTGTTTACCTCGCCCCGCTTCCCATAGGTCAGAGCGTAAAGGAGGCCTAGAGTCAGGGCCTGTTCCACAATGGCCACGTGTATAGTCAACTGTTGGCAGACAGTTCTGGTCAGAGAAGGTCTAATATGACAGAAATCGATGTAGTGGGGTATATCTCATGTCTGTTATGTGCTCCCTTCAAAATTCCTTGTACAGTGACTTCCTGTGTTGGGCAGGTGGCGTGACAGGATAATACATGCAGACTGATTTGATGGCCTGGTTGTAGAAGTACGTAGCTTATATTTATAGGCTATAGGTAAGGTTTTTTCCAACAGAACCAACCGCCTCATAAACTGCAGTTGACTGCTCATGTGTGGCATGGGCTTAACCAGTCGGAGGCACAGTCAACATCCAGTTTGAATCTTTGGTTTCCTGGTCCCGAAGCCTCTGTCTCCCAGCTGTGGGACATCCCTCATCAAGTCTTCCTGCCCAAAAGAGGTGTGGAGCTGGTGGGGTGCGAGGGGAGCTACCTCAGGCCCTGCCTGCAGGGAGGGCACCTTGGGGGTTACGCAGTGCTAGCAAGGCTAGCCACGTTTGGATGCCAGGGCTGCCGGGTGCCATACTGTCCTTGACTCCAACCTCTTCTGAGAGACAGGCCATTCACCTTCATCCCAAGATTCACGCTCAGTATTATGAACAAAGGTGTTTGAACACTTGAGTGCAATGTGCATCTCAAACTGCTTCTGTCCCTTAACGGTGAGATGTATTTTTAATGATACGAAGCCATGCTTGGTACGACAGCCGTGCTCGCTCCCAAGGGCGAGAGGTGGATTCACAAGCCTGCTGTGATGTTCCCTTCAAGTGAGTCTGTGTTCCTGGAGGGGGAAGGCTCTCCACGCAGCTGGTATGCTCTGTGCCTGCGGAATGGCTCAGAACTGGGATGAGCCATTCATGAGATTCAGGTGTTCTCCTGTCATAGAATCATAGAATCACAGAATGGTTTGGGTTGGAAGGGACCTTAAAGACCATCTAGTTCCAACCCCCCTGCCATGGGCAGGGACACCTTGCACTAGACCAGGTTGCTCAAACCCTCATCCAGCCTGGCCTTGAACACTTCCAGGGATGGGGCATCCACAGCTTCTCTGGGCAACATGTTCCAGTGCCTCACCCCCCTCTCCGTGAAGAATTTCTTCCTGATATCTAAACTATACCGCCCTGTTTTCAATTTGTACCCGTTACCCCTTGTCCTGTCACTACAGGCTCTTGTAAAAAGTCCTCTCCCAGCTTCCTTGTAGGCCCCTTCAGTTATTGGAAGGCTGCAATGAGTTCTCCTCGGAGCCTCCGTTTCTCCAGGCTGAACAAGCCCAATTCTTGCAGCCTTTCGGCATAGCAGAGGTGCTCCAGCCCTCCTGTCCTTTAGCCCCTCCGAAACAGGGGTTACACCTTCAGAGCAGGATCCCACCTCCCATGCCTGAGACAAGCTCCAGAGGACACGGGGACCCTGGGAGCAGAGCAGTCTGACCTGACTTCAGCATAAGCCACCCTCTTAGGGTTGCAGACCTCGTTGGTGTTTACAGCAAGTTAAAAACACACGCCAGATTTTTAAGAAGCCTTGGTCTGAATTTCCTGCTCTTGTTGTGGTGTGCCGGGGGGCTCGGCCCCGTGGGCTGTGAATGGCACGAGCTCAGATGGAGTGTTTGAGCCTGCAGGTGCGGCGCCGCGTGGTGAGCGCTAGGCTGCTGGCACATGCCACGGTAGGCGGCTCTTCAGGTGCTTTCTCACGTGGGGACCTCAAGGCCCGGCATTTCTAAGGTCCGGGAGCAGTGGGCACCTGTTCTCCTGGCTGTGGCAGCTCCCAGGGATATGGTTAGGTAGTATTCATAGACAGTGGGGTGAAGGGGTCAGGGGGAAAGAGGACCCAGTGCAGAAAAGGGGACCCAGCGCAGCAGCTGGAGGAGGAGGAGGGATGATCCTCTCCCTGAGGGAGTGCAGGAGGACTGCTGGGGGAAGGCAGGTTCACACTCCCTGATCTCAGGGCTACAACTCTGTATGTACTTGTGGCCCTTCCCTGGAAGTCAGCATGCCTTCGACTGTTGCACGCTGGTAAGTGTACGCTTGTTGGGGCAGAGGTGAGGATGACACTCCCGTGGTCATTTAGAAAATGGTGTGTCAGAACCGAGAGCTTCCCGTCCTCTGGTTGGAAAGTGTGTTTAGGTGCGGATGACAGGCTCTGGGTACCAGAAGGGGATGGTGGGGAATGGAGTTTACCAGGTGCCGAAGCTGTTTTCCCTCGTACCCCTCTCTGAGCGACTGGGTCAAGGTAAAGCCCGCTCCTGTTTTTTGCTTGCGCTAAGAAATGCTGAGCTCAGAGGAAGTGTTAACACCCGTGTGGCCAGGATGGGCGTGAAGTCTGGAGGTCAGTGTACCGATACTGCAGAAGCCGAGCAGCGCTTTTGCCTTTTCGGCGTTACCCCTCTGCCCCGTGGCAAGCGCCGGCAGCCATGCACGTGGGTGAGGGCACACGGGTGATCTCACGCTCTCCCCTCTCTCTCCCTCTGTCTCTCCCTCTGTTGTCCCCTCTCTTTCTGCAGGTCAGCGTGGAAGTCTTGGTAGAATACCCTTTTTTTGTATTTGGACAAGGCTGGTCATCCTGCTGCCCCGAGAGAACCAGCCAGCTCTTTGATTTGCCATGCTCCAAACTCTCGGTGGGGGACGTCTGCATATCGCTCACGCTCAAGAACCTGAAGAACGGCTCTATTAAAAAGGGCCAGCCCATGGACTCAGCTAGTATCTTGCTGAAGCATTCAAAGAATGACAGTCTAGCTGGAAGTAGACACAGGTATGCGGAGCAGGAAAACGGGATTAATCAGGGAAGCGCACAGATGTTAGCTGAGAACGGTGAACTGAAGTTTCCGGACAAAATAGGATTGCCTGCAGCACCTTTGCTCACCAAAACAGAACCCAGCAAGCCCCCGGCAACGAGGAAGAGGAGGTGGTCAGCCCCCGAAACACGAAAACTAGAGAAATCAGAAGAGGAGCCACCTTTGACTCTTCCCAAGCCTTCTTTTATTCCTCAGGAGGTTAAGATTTGCATTGAAGGTCGATCCAATGTAGGAAAGTAAAAGTTGTTTGGGGAAAGGAAATTAGGCTATCCCTTGTCATTTTTATCCAGATTACTGTACTGTAGACTAAATAACCCAGTATTTACATGTTATCATCTTATTTTAGGTTTATGTTATAACCTTGTTGTTATAGTTGCAGCTGGTATTATGCAGGAGACTGGTGCATATGTTTTTCCACAAGTGTTTGTCAGTGACTAGGTTTATCGAGAGCTACGGAAGGGGCAGTATCTGCTTCGCGCACCCTTAGTGGAAATGAATGTGTTGTCGTGGCTCCTGTTTTCTAACACCTCGTGTAGGACAGGGTCCAGCTGTGATTTTGTTTTCTTTTCGTCCTATTTTTGTTTCGTTTTGTTGTTTTGGTTCCTCTTCTAGTTTTTCGGGGGGAGGTGAGGAGAAGGGAACTGTAGCAGAGGTGTGTGTCACGTGTGGGTGGGTGGGTGCGTGCGTGTGTGTGTGGGTGCTCGCCGGTCCCAAGGAGGGACTGCGGCTCTGTGGCACGTTGGTGAAAAGGTTTCCTCGCCCCAGGGGGATGCTGAGGACACAACCCACGGGTGTTACTGAAAAGGATCGGACA